TGCAGAGCACTAATTCCTAGTATGGGTAACCATACTTGGCCACATGTCACATCACTTTTCACTATATTTGTAATTTCACTATATATATATATATATAGATATATATATATATAAAATTGTTAATATTTTATATGTATACATTAAGTTAATATTTTAAGGTACACATAAAGGTACACAATTGTTTTTTCTTTATTTAAATATTTCTTGTTGAAACATTTATTTAGCATAATAAATGTTCAAAATTCACAAAACAAAGCACTTCTTTGTATCAGTCAAGCAGAAGGGTCTATTTTCAACTTTAAACACCCTTTGTACCATTTTTGTTTACTAGTACAGTAGCGAACAACAGGAAATCATAGCAAGAAGTAGAATAGTATCTCTAGTTGTCAAAGCGTGTGTGTTAACCACTACTTATTTTAAGATCTCCACACAAACCAACACATACATTAACAATATGAAAACCATTCAAAGCATCAAGTCGATTGAGCCAGTGGGCATGAGATGGATTAAGAACAACCGGCAGTTCAGAGCATTTGTGTCTCATTTACAGAGCACTGACAGTAGGCCAGACTGTGGCCCAAGCACACAGCAGGCAGTTTGTTCTGCAGCACGCACTAGAGACCTTCAGTGTTATCAAATAAAGTCATGCAGTTGTGCTCAGAACAAAGACAGACATTATGAGCCACCTCTAAAGGAGGGATGCATTTCCTGTGACAAGGAAACAGGAAGTTCTCCCACAGAACCCTATGATTTATGAATGCAGTTTCTCTTACCTTGTCCAGTGTACACGTGACTGATGGTGACCAAATGACCTGGGTGGGGAAGAGTGAGAGAGAAATAAAGACACAAAAATGAAAATTTGGAGAAATTTAACATTACACCACTTGGATCCTCTGCAGTGAATGGGCGCCGTCAGAATGAGAGTCCAAACTGATAAAAACATCACAACAATCCACAAGTAATCCACATGTCACCAGTCCATCAATTAATGTCATGTGAAGCAGAAAGCTTCATGTTTGTGATAAACCCGTCCATAAAGACATTTTAACTTCAAACCGTTGCTTCCAGCTAAAATATGGGCCTCTATCCATAACATTGCCTTCTCCAGTGAAAAAGTCATCTTGTCTGAATCAGGAGTGAAATATGTACATAATAAGCACTGTTTAGGTGAAAACAGTTCTAAACAATTATGTCGGTGGATTTTGATGTGAGAGGACAACAGGGGATGGAGTTTTTCACTGGAAGAAGCATTATTATGGATTATAAATTCGTATTTTGGCCAGAAGCAACAATTTAAAGTTAAAACGCTTTACATGGTAACACTTAATGGTGGATTTGTTTTTTACAAACAAGCAATCATCTCACAACACATTAATCGATGGACTGGATTACTTGTGGATCATTGTGATGTTTTATCAGCTGTTTGGACTCTCATTCTGACAGCACCCATTCACTGCGGAGGATCCACTGGTGAGAAAATGATGCAATGCTAAATTTCTCCAAATCTGTTCTGATGAAGAAACCAACAGATCTACATCTTGGATGGCCTGATGGTGAGTACACTTTCAGCTAATTTTCATTTTTGGTTGAACTATTCCTTTAACTCTCCAATCACAATAAATGCCCAGCAGTCACTTTATCATCTGTTCTAATCCCTCCCAGCAGAGCGGCGATGAGTACACAAGATGCCTCATGTCAGACTTACAGGTCAGCATTGTGCAAGGACAATTTCATGGAAAGATGAATAAAATCCTAAGAGACTGATGAGATGAACAGCTAAAATCCAAAGGACCTGAGCCATTTAAATCTTGAGCTTACACATCATATGAGCACACACAGACTCACTTTTGACTGCAAGGTGTTCGGATAGCAGGTGTGTGTATTCCTCTCTGTCAAGCTGTGTCGGAAAGCCTCCCAAGAGCAGATTGACTTGTGCCATTCGATTCCTGCTTTCCTCGATGTAAAACCGTGTCTGATTCATCTGTCGCAACGATGTCTGAAAGTCACAAGCTCAGAATCAGAGTTTGAGACAACCAAGAAGCTCTCGTCTATTCCATAACAAGCACACACAATGTAAGATAAGTGTGCTGTGCTTATCAGGGCTCATCACCTTGAGTGTTTTCCAAATACAAAGCAAAATCATCATGACCCGCCTCACATACCTTCCGTATCTCCTGCAGTTTGTCCAGTAAAATCTCCTGACCGCTGAGGACTTGCCGTTGCACTGAAGAAGGATAAGAAACGCAAGCTCAGGATATCGTGAAACCCTTCCACATTTTTCTAAGCTTTTCTATGTGTTGTAAGGGTTTGCACAACCTTTAATATCAATCAGACTCTTAAAGATACTTGGAGACAATGACATAAAAACCAGGCAAATCATATTTACTATTACTGTATGTAGTTTTGAATTTAATGAATATAAAATATATTAAATTAAAATATAAAAAAAATGTTCTAGAAATAAATTCAGTTAAGATATAAAAATATGTGATAAGTATAAAAATATGTCCGCGCACACACACACACACACATATACATATATATATATATGTGTGTGTGTGTGTGTGTGTGTGTGTGTGTGTGTGTATATA